CACTTATCTACCTATCTACCTATTTATCTATTTCAAAGCCCCTTCCTTCCCCAGCCTGTACAAGGAGGAAAAAGGAGCAAGAGTTTCACATCGTCGAAATACCGTCCATAGATCAGCTGGAGCACTTGGGACTCGTCGCCTCTGCGCAAATATTCATGGAATTCTTTGAAATATTCTCCCGTCCTGTCGCCTCGCCCTCTGACCTGCGCTGACCTTTATTTTTTTATTTATTTATTTTTTTTATTGTTTTTGCTTTTTATTTTTATCCTGCTGTCGGTCATGGACGCCACAAAGTCACGAGATGATCCGAGACGAAACCCACTCGAACCCTAGATTCGGGTGGGGTTCGAGACTGGTTTTGAATCAGGTAACGAGGCCTTTGTCCGTTTCGTGCTTAGTAGATGCTAGTTTGAAGGAACATGGATCAAAGACCCCCTTTTCTGTATTTGCATAACTTCTTAATCTGTTTGAGGGTAGTTAAGATGTATCCTGTGTCAATGTTTTGTTCTATATAATAGCTAATTTCTTTCTCTCTCTCTCTCTCTCTCTCTCTCTCTCTCTCTCTCTCTCTCTATATATATATATATATATATATATATATATATACATATATACATATATATACATATTCACAGATATATATAAATATATGTACATATACACAGTATTAGTTAGCTTTTTAACAGCCAGTAATTCTTGTCCTGTTGCCATCCTCTAACTGATATTCATAACTAATAGCCGGCAATCGCTCTTCCTATTTTGTATCTCCTGCTCCCAGTCTATAAAAGGAAATAAACAAGCAATATCTCTGCGCATATCGTATTGCCTTCTTCCGCTGAGCATCGTTGACCATCCCGTACTTGAGTTTCAAAACCACTTTGGAATTTATGCTATACAATTTTTTCCTCTATATGTTTTCCTTCTTTTTTTTTTTTTACCTTCCTTTAAAGAGGAAAATTCCAATTCTCAAGGAGTCATATTGAGAGGGAAACGTAAATCATAATATTCATACACACACAAAAATAAGGAATGAAAAAAAAAAAAAAAAAATCAGTAAATGAAATAATGAATAAATTCAAACATTCACGAATTGCTTTTGAATGCAGAGTTTTAATTAAGTGATGTTCTAATTATTCAGCTGCTTGTCGGGGCATAAGCCAACAACACATTTTTTTTTCTTTCTTTTTTTTTATATCAAGTAAATTCAGGTTCAGGCATCATCAAGGCCATTTAAACCTTTGGTAATTTTGGAATCTCAAAGACTCACTAAAACATTATACACGTGTAAAGGTGAGTACATAATAGATAAACAGTTCATATGTATGCGGAAAGTAAAATAACAATAATAATAATAATAATAATAATAATAATAATAATAATAATAATAATAATAATAATGATAATGATAATAATAATAATAATAATAATAATAATAAAAAATTATAATAATATTAATAATGATAATGATAATAATAATAATGCAATATTAATAATAAATGAATAAATGAATATGAAAAAACAGTACATTGATAAACAGCTCATGAATATGCACAAAGTAAACCATGCTATCAAAATATTTGAGGTTTTCGAGTGAACTGATCCACCGTTCAGTAAGCGGAACCAGAGCTGAGTTACTTCAGTTTATTTACTATCAGTCATCTCAACAAACATGACAAGCGACTGTTGACTTGCGGTTTGTACAGGAATGTTTCGTATAAGTTTTCTTTAGTTAACTACATCTTATTTTTTTATCGGGTACAAAAAAATATAATAATGATGATAATAATGATAATGATAATAGTGATAATACTACTACTGATAATAACAATAATGATAATGACGATAATAATGATAATGATAATAACAATATTAATAATAATAATAATAATAATAATAATAGTAATAATAATAATAATAGTAATAATGATAATAATAATGATAATAATAATAATGATAATAATAATAATGATAATGATAATGATAATGATAATAATAATAATAATAATAATAATAATAATAATAATAATAATGATAATAATAATAATAATGGTACTAAATAATAATGATAATGATAACAATAATAATAAAAATAACATGAAGAGGAAGAAGCAGAAGTAAAAAAGAAAAGAAGAAAAAGAAAAAGAAAAAAAAGAAAATATCGCCAATAACGCAAAAGAAGGAAACGAATTTAATCAGACGCCGACCATTGTGTACTCGGAGGCAAAGAACCATCGGAATCCTGGCTAAAGTGACACACATGCGAGAAAATGGGCACGTTGCGCCTAGAGACTGGCTTGCAGAGATCGGCTGACTCAGGGATGTCCAAACTTTTACTCGCCCGCCCCCCCTCTCTCCCCTATCCTCCCCTCCCTCCCCTGTTTTTTTCTCCGCTCTCCTGAATCGCCAAGAAAGATAATGGTGTGTAGAGAACACCCACCTCCAGCCGGTTCCCTTTCGTTAGATCACAAGGAGAGGACAGGAGAAAGAGAGAAAGAGAGAGAGAGAGAGAAAGAGAAAGAGAGAAAGAGAGAGAGAGAGAGAGAGAGAGAGAGAGAGAGAGAGAGAGAGAGAGAGAGAGAGAGAGAGAGAGAGAGAGAGAGACAGCAAAAGAATGGCACAACAATGTTCATTCGCCTTTTTTATATGATAATATGAGATCAGAAACATACGTAATTAGACACGCAAATGACTTACAAGAAAGAAATGTGAGAAAAAAATATAAAGAAAAAAAAAAGAAAAAAAAAGAGAGAGGGGAAAAAAAGAAAGTGTGAAGGAATTTTCGACCTTACTCCAAGGAAGCCAGAAGGAGCACGGATATTGGAGGATTGGAGAACGGAGCAGAAGGACGAAAGAAAAACAACAACAACAACAACAAACAAACAAAAACAACAGCACTGGAGAAGGGGAAGGGGTAGAAGGACTGAGAGTGCAGGAGAGAGAAAAGAAGAATAAGAGGAAGAGAGGAGGAGGAAAGAATGAAGGAGGCACCCGAGTCCTCTTGCCTTTGGTAAGATGCTCGATGCGGAATAACAAGGTTTGCCTCAGTCTCCCCGAGGATGCAAAGAAAACGAGAAAAAGGCAACTCTACTCTTTTGCGTCTTCCTAATTAACTATGATTCGAAACTGTCGCTGGGGAATTCGCGAGGAGATGGATGGAAGGAGGCAAATGAGGAAGAGGAATGAGGAGGAGGAAGAGGAAGGAGGAAGAGGAATTGGGAAGAGAAGTAAGGGATAGGGGCGGGGAAGAGGGGAGAGGAAGAGGAAGGAGGAAGATGAATGGGGAAGAGAAGTAAGGGGTAGGGGCGGGGAAGAGGGGAGAGGAAGAGGAAGGAGGAAGACGAATGGGGAAGAGAAGTAAGGAGGAGGGACGGGGAAGAGGGGAGAGGAAGAGGAAGAGAAATACGGAAGGAAGAAGAAAGATGAGGAAGAGGGATGGGGGGGGGATGAGGGAAAGGAATGGAAAAGAGGAATTAGGACGAGGAAGGAGAAAGAAAAGTGAGAAAGAAGAATGAGGAAGAGGAATGGGGAGGAAGAATGGGGAAGAGACATGGGAAAGAGGAATAGGGAAGAAGAGTGAGGGAAGAAGTAAAGGTGTGAAATTAAGAGTGAGGGAAATAGGAAGAATTTGCAAGAGGAAAGAGTTAGTCAATCACACAAATACAATCACACACACACAGACAAACACACATGATCACACACACACGCAGTGGAACAGAGAGGATAAATCGAGAATTCAATCGCAGAAAGGGAAGAAGAAAGACAAAAATGAGTTAGACATCTTCGGCCCCAAAGTTTGCTGGCTTTCCGTGCCTCCGGGATCAAGACGATAGCAAAAACTGAATAAATGCGTGGAGGAGAGAGAGAGAGAGAGAGAGAGAGAGAGAGAGAGAGAGAGAGAGAGAGAGAGAGAGAGAGAGAGAGAGAGAGAGAGAGAGAGAGAGAGATAGACACACACACACACACACACACACACACACACACACACACACACACACACACACACACACATACACACACACACACACACACACATATAAAGAGACCGAGAGAGAGAGAGAGAGAGAGAGAGAGAGAGAGAGAGAGAGAGAGAGAGAGAGAGAGAGAGAGAGAGAGAGAGAGAGCAGCTAGGAGTAGTATTAAATCCAACAAGACCGAAATTGCATATTCCAAGAGGGAATTGTTTCTCCTCAGCATAATGACGTCATGTGGTATGCAGGGTGGGGTGGGGAGGGGAGGAGGAAGGGGAGAGGGAGTGGAAATGAAGGTGGAAGTGGGGGGAGGGGTAGGGAGGTAAGAAGGACCGTTTGGTGACGCTTGTTCCCAAAGAAACTTTTTACGCTGAGATGGTCGCTTAAAAAAAGAAAAGAGAAAAAAAAAACATGAAAAGAAGGAAAGAAAGAGAGAAAAAAAGTATATATCTACTTTTTCAACTATTTATTTTTCTTTTCATAGCTCAAAAGGGGGAACTACGATAGATGGGCCATAAGGTAACTAGGTATACCACGAAGCTATCACTTCAAATTCACTTCGATTATCCGAAATGACGGTTCCTTCTCGTTTCAACCAAAACATTATCTCTGTCACAATCATTTCACCAAGAACGATTTCATGCTGACATTATTTTTATTATTATTATTGTAATTGTCAGTTAAAAGAAATTATGTCCAAGCTTCCTATAATAAAAAAGAAAAAGAAAAAAAATCTAATCAATCATGCAATTATCATGTATGAATTAATTTGCTTGTACATATAATAATTTTGATAATATTATTCAGTATGATACTTTTTAATTTGCATATGCTGGTATTTTAAATAGATTATTCCGTATAAATCTTCCTTTACTTATACAGATAATATATTAATTTAGTTATTGCATATACAGTTTAATTTGCATATACAGATAATAATTTCAGTAGATTATTCCATATAAACTTTAATTTACGTGTATAGGCAAGTCCTTTTTAGTAAAGATTCCTGGCACTGTCTAATTTTCTTTACAT